CTGAGAATGATGGTTTCTAGCTGCATCCATGTCCCTACAAAGGACACGAACTCATCCTCTTTTATGGTTGCATAGTATTCCATGGTGTATATGTGCCACATTTTCTTAATCCAGTCTGTCATTGATGGACATTTGGGTTGGTTCCAAGTTTTTGCTATTGTGAATAATGCCACAATAAACATACATGTGCATGTGTCTTTGTAGCAGCATGATTTGTAATCCTTTGGGTATATACCCAGTAATGGGATGGCTGGGTCAAATAGTATTTCCAGTTCTAGATCCTTGAGGAATCGCCACACTGTCTTCCACAATGGTTGGACTACTTTACAGTCCCACCAACAGTGTAAAAGTGTTCCTATTTCTCCACATCCTCTCCAGCACCTGTTGCTTCCTGACTTTTTAATGATTGCGATTATAACTGGTGTGAGATGGTATCTCATTGTGGTTTTGATTTGCACTTCTCTGATGGCTAGTGATGATGAGCATTTTTTCATGTGTCCGTTGGCTGCACAAATGTCTTCTTTTGAGAAGTGTCTGTTCATATCCTTTGCCCATTTTTTGATGGGGTTTTTTTTTCTTGTAAATTTGTTTCAGTTCTTTGTAGGTTCTGGATATTAGCCCTTTGTCAGATGAGTAGATTGCAAACATTTTCTCCCATTCTGTAGGTTGCCTGTTCACTCTGATGGTAGTTACTTTATGCTGTGCAGAAGCTCTTTAGTTTAATTAGATCCCATTTGTCAATTTTGGTTTTTGTTGCCATTGCTTTTGGTGTTTTAGACATGAAGTCCTTGCCCATGCCTATGTCCTGAATGGCATTGCCTAGGTTTTCTTCTAGGGTTTTTATGGTTTTAGGTCTAACATTTAAGTCCCTAATCCATCTTGAATTAATTTTTGTATGAGGAGTAAGGAAGGGATCCAGTTTCAGCTTTCTACTTATGGCTAGCCAGTTTTCCTTCCCCATTTCTTGTTTTTGTCAGGTTTGTCGAAGGTTAGATGGTTGTAGGTGTGTGGTGTTATTTCTGAGGTCTCTGTTCTGTTCCATTGGTCTATATCTCTGTTTTGGTACCAGTACCATGCTGTTTTGGTTACTGTAGCCTTGTAGTATAGTTTGAAGTCAGGTAGCGTGATGCCTCCAGCTTTGTTCTTTTGACTTAGGATTGTCTTGGCAATGCGGGCTCCTTTTTGGTTCCATATGAACTTTAAAGTAGTTTTTCCCAATTCTGTGAAGAAACTCATTGGTAGCTAAATGGGGATGGCATTGAATCTATAAATTACCTTGGGCAGTATGGTCATTTTCACAATATTGATTCTTCCTATCCATGAGCATGGAATGTTCTTCCATTTGTTTGTGTCCTCTTTTATTTCATTGAGCAGTGGTTTGTAGTTCTCCTTGAAGAGGTCCTTCACATCCCTTGTAAGTTGGATTTCTAGGTATTTTATTCTCTTTGAAGCAATTGTGAATGGGAGTTCATTCATGATTTTATGTGCCACATTTTCTTAATCCAGTCTATCATTGATGGACATTTGGGTTGGTTCCAAGTCTTTGCTATTGTGAATAGTGCTGGAATAAACATACATGTGCATGTGTCTTTATAGCAGCATGATTTATAAACCTTCAGGTATATACCCAGTAGTGGGATGGCTGGGTCAAATAGTATTTCTAGTTCTAGATCCTTGAGGAATCGCCACACTGTCTTCCACCATTGTTGGACTAGTTTACACTCTCAACAGTGTAAAAGTGTTTCTGTTTCTCCACATCCTCTCCAGCACCTGTTGTTTCCTGACCTTTTAATGACAGCCATTCTAACTGCTGTGAGATGGTATCTCATTGTGGTTTTGATTTGCATTTCTCTGATGGCCAGTGATGAGCATTTTTTCATGTGTCTGTTGGCTGCATAAATGTCTTCTTTTAAGAAGTGTCTGTTCATATTCTTCGCCCACTTTTTGAGCATCAAATATAGCATCAACAAAATTTTGTAAAATTATAAAATTATTTTATAAGTATAATACAATAAAATTATTAGACTATATATTAATAGCCTAATCATAGATTAATTTTTAAACGTACTTTCCTATAATTAACCGTAGTGGACTTTTTTTTTTTTTTTTTTTTTTGGAGACAGAGTCATACTCTGTCGCCCAGGCTGGAGAATAGTGGCGAGATCTCAGCTCACTGCAACCTCTGCCTTCCGGGTTCAAGCAATTCTCCTGATCTAGCCTCCTGAGTAGCTGGGATTACAGGCGTGCACCACCACTTTCAATGTCAAAAACCTCAACTGCTTTTGCACCAACCTAATAATTTTAATAATATATATGATATTTAATCACACTGTAGAACTATCAATGTTTTCCCAGTGTAATTTGTTGTAATATCTATTAAATCCCATAGACTTGCACTCTGTAAACATGTATACAGTCTAAGTAAAATATTAATTTAAATTAAATTAGCTACTCAATTTTCCTCCTACACATAATATTTTGTATATGCCTTCATTATTTGTATAAAGTGTTGTGACTTCTGAAAATATCAGGCACATTCATATTAAAATATCAGATAAAAGTGCATTCTAAATTCAAGTAATACTTTTGAGTTGATCTGAGCACTCTTGCTAAGTTCTAATATAGAGATAAATGTATGCTTACATAAAATATTTTCATATTTAGGAATATCACAAATGAATCCCTTGATTATAGCCTTTTCTTAATAATAAAAAGACACCCATGGCAGAATTCAAAAGAAATTACTTGTATTATAATTTTTTTTTTTTTTTTGAGACTCTTGTCACCCAGGCTGGCTTGCAGTGGCACAATCTCAGCTCATTGCAACCTCCGCCTCCTAGACTCAAGTGATTCTCCTGCCTCAGCCTCCCAAGTAGCTGAGACTACAGGCATGTGCCACCACACCCAGCTAATTTTTGGAATTTTTAGTACAGACCGTGTTTCACCATGTTGGCCAGGCTGGTCTCAAACTCCTGGCCTCAAGTGATCCTCCTGCCTCGGCCTCCCAAACCAGTGGTGCATAAGCCACTGCGCTGGGCCTTGTATTATAATTGTTTTAAGTTATACGTCTTGTAAGCTCCTGCAGGGTTGATTGATGAAGAGAGAGATTCATTGTTAAACAAGACGCCCTCAGGTTCTCCTTTAATGAATAAAGATTAATAGGCCACTCAGAAAAGTAAACACATAATGTAAGTATGAATGAAGTGCTGTAATTCAGATTCTATGGGAATTCAGAGGAGAGACACTCAAATGTCCAATGAATGGAGGCTTGTGTCCATTTTAATCTATATATTCAGCAGAATGATCACTTATGAATACAATACTGCTCGATGAAAAAGTATAGTCTGAAGTAACCTTCAGATTGTATATATTATTTTTAACAAATGCAAGGTTTAAATGATTATTCCCAGAGGGTGAGCAGGGCCACAGAAAAGAATAAAACAGGAAATTTCTAAAAATGCATTGAGATACTTGTTTCTTGGAGACTTAGTACCATTCCCATACTTAGCATTTATCAGATTATTATGGTTTGCCAGATAATGTGCTCAAAGGATTCTTTACCCTTTAACCCTCCTAACCCTATTAATGTAGTACAAGTTTTATGTTCATCTTTTAGATGTGGAAACGGGGACCCACAGAGGTTAAGTACCTACCTCAAATCAGAAAGCTGGAAGGTAAGCTTTTAACAACTCTGAGTAGATCTTCTTTTACAGTGTGAGAAAAATCCTAAAACAGAGGGAAAGGGAGACGGGCGGCAGGGGGAGAGGTATTTGGTGGAGCGCAGAATAACACAAGGTCAAATTCTCTTTTATTTTTTTTTTAGATGGGTGTCACTCTGTTGCCCAGTCTGGAGTGCGGTGGCATGATCATAGCTCACTGCAGCCTTGACCTCCTCAGCTCAAGCAATCTTCCTGCCTCAGCCTCGTAAGTAGCTGCGACTATAGGTGTAGATCACCACACCCAGCTAGTTTTTGTAATTTTTGTAGAGGTAGGGTCTCTCCATGTTGCCCAGGTTGGTCTCAGACTTCTGGACTCCAGAGATCCACCTGCCTCGACCTCCCAAAGTGCTGGGATTACACGTGTGAGCCACCATGCCTGGCCATATGTCAAATTCTTAAGCTATTCGTTATCACAGATCATTGAAGAAACTGGCTATATAATCATTACTCTTGCATACATAAGCCTCTCACAAATCTCTCCAGCATCTGAAAATTCCTATCAAATGAACGGCGCTGACTGGGAGTATCAGAGAGTGTCCCAACAGGGTGAAAGCAAGTTGCATGACTTCGTATGTAATTATCTTATAACATCAATATATCCATGATATGGTATCACATAAGACGCTGATACATTGGCTATTGTATGTGTAAGCTGAACTTTTAATTTTAAACAGGGCTTGTATTTTGATTATTTATCACAGCATCAAATTCCACAAATAAAATACTCTTTTACTTTGAAATCTCTGTCTTCACTTTATGGATTTTTAATATGAAATTTTATATTGGTATTACTGATGTACCTTTACTTTATTTTACTAAACAACACTCATATTAGTACTTCAGTACTGGCAACACAGCTAAGCCTTAAACTGAGTCAAACATCTATTAAAGTGAATTGCTTTTTATGCTGAAATCAATTTATTGAATAAAAGTCCCTTGCCACAATGGAATAAAGAATATAATTCCATGTTTGAAGGAACAACAATTTTCAAATTTTTAAAAAATATAATCTGGCCAGGCGTGGTGGCTCACTCCTGTAATCCTAGCACTTTGGGAGGCTGAGGTGGGCAGATCACCTGAGGTCAGGAGTTCGAGATCAGCCTGGCCAACATGGTGAAACCCCATCTCTACTAAAAATACAAAAATTAGCCGGGCATGGTGGCGGGCGCCTGTAATCCCAGCTACTCGGGAGGCTGAGGGAGGAGAATTGCTTGAACCTGGGAGACAGAGGTTGCAGTGAGCTGAGATTGCGCCATCACACTCCAGCCTGGGGGACAAGAGCAAGACATTGTCTCAAAAAAAAAAGCTTAGTCTAAAAATTATTCAATAATTTCAGGTGTGTTCTTTAAAACTAAATTTACTCAATCAATTCATATAATCCTCTCTATATAAAAGATAAAAATCTTATTCTTGGGCTAACTTGATGGAAAAGCTTCTTAGTTTTTTAAAAGGCTCTATTAAAGAGTATTCTTAGAAAAAGTGTGGTGTACATCAGTGGTCCCCAACCTTTTTGGCACCAGGGACCAGTTTTGTGGAAGACAATTTTTCCACGGTTGGGGGTGGGGGTGAGGGTGGGTTCTGGGATGAAACTGTTCCACCTCAGACCATCAGGCATTAAATTCTCATAAGGAGCGCAAGCTAGATCCCTCGCATATGCAGTTCACAACAGGGTTTGGGCTCGTATGAGGATCTAATGCCGCTGCTGATCTGACAGGAGGTGGAGTTCAGGCGGGAACGTTCAGTTCGAGGCTCACCACGTGCTGTGCAGGCTGCTTCCTAACAGACCAGGGACAGGTACTGGGACCATGTTCCAGGGCTTGGGGACCTCAGTATACCTAACTAACTAAAATTAACTGCTCACCCTTTCTAGAAATACCTGAAAGCCAACTTACAAGAATATTACTTTAAATTTAGCACCTTTTGTATATGTAAAACAACAACAACAACAACAACAACAACAAAAAAACAAACTGATATACTAGAGTTAGTAAAAATGGCTTATTCTCTACAATCTAGTCATTTCCTTTATAGTGCAAAAACCTACACCCCAAGAAAAAAAGAAGGATTACAAATGTGCACACAGGTATCACAAAGAGGCCTTACTAGATCCCATTTTCTTTTTAAAATGGAGACATTTCAAAGGCAGAAAAAAACCTGAGTCTGGTTAGGTAATTGAAGTAAATGTAAGAGAGAGTCACGAGGATATTTTTACACAGGCCCAGCACAGGTGTGATAGTCCCCAGGGCAATGATTAAACCAAGTCTAACAAAAACAAATGGTAAATCTTGCAGAAGGATGCTCAGGGAATTGAGAAGAGGGTTTTGGGGAGTGAATGTAATTCGAAGGAGAGAAATAAAACTGAATATGTAGACTGGGTATAGCCAGCTTGACTTGTACACTTTGGGGTGACCAGCCACACGCACCATTTCTATCGTGTCAGACCACAGGAGAAAGCTCCATAAGAATAATTCTGCCCGGATATCTCGTCGGGACATTGTTTTCAGGATTCCAGAGTCACAGGAGGGCTCCTGGGGTCCCATGAACACAGACACCTGGCTCCATGTCATGGCTCCTGATGGCTGCGACAACTGGGTGCTGTTGGTTGCCTGGGGAGATGCAGCATTTTCTTGACTTTGCCTCACTTGCTCCGTCACCGTTTTTATGTGTTGCAAAGAGCTTGAATGGGTGTGCCCATTTTGGCTACCTGCAGTGAACAGATTTATTTACATTTTAGTTTTTAAAATGTATCCATTTTAGCTCAAATGTTATTCAAATTTAAAATTCCACTTAAAGGTGGAATTCTCCATATTCTTTTGTTTTTCACTTAATTTAATTTTATTTTAAGTTCCAGGATACATGTGCAGGACATGCAGGTTTGTTACACAGGCAAACGTGTGCCATGGTGGTGTGCTGCACCTGTCAACCCATCACCTAGACATTAAGCCTCACATGCATTAGCTATTTATCCTGATGCTCTCCCTCCCCACATATTCTATTATTTGAGGCCTATTTTACCCTTGGAATTTCAAGATAACACTGAAGTAGCACGCTGAAAAAACATAGAGGTGGAGAAGGCTCTTGGTGTCTTGGTATTTTCCTGGATTCAGATCCGAAGTCATTTTTTACCACTCCATAATAACAAACATTATTGGTTTCTAAGCTATACACTTTCACACATTATTATCTCATTTAATCCTCAGAACAAAGCTGAGAAATAGGGATTACTATCCCATTTTACACTATAGAAACTGGCTCTTGAGAGGTTAAAGAACACTGATATTCAAATGCAGTTAGTATTGGGCAGAGCTGGAATTCACACCTAGATTTGTTTGACTCCGATGGACAAACTCTTAACTTTATGGCTGCTATTACCTGTCTAGATACAATAGATCATGAGTTAATTATAAAACATTGAGCGACATAAAGTCAAATGAATCTAAAAGTCCCCCAATCCAACCCTGTCATTTTGTAAGACAAATACCCTGTCATTTTATAAGAAGGGGCTCACAGAGATGACCATACCCCAGATCTCCAGGTATGAAGTTTGGTGCTAAGAGGGAATCCATTGTTTTTCTGTGTGTTTTGTGTGTGTGTGTGTGTGATAGAGTCTTGCTCTGTCACCCAAGCTGGAGTGTAGCAGCATGATCTCAGCTCACTGCAACCTTTAACTCCTTGGTTCAAGCGATTCTCCTGCCTCAGCGCACGAGTAGCTGGGATTACAGGTGTACACCACCATGCCTGGCTAATTTTTAGTACAGACGGGGTTTCTGTGTTGGGCAGGCTGGTTTCAAACTCGTGACCTCAAGTGATCTTCCCGCCTCAGTCCCCCAAAGTACTGGGATTACAGGCGTGAGCCATGGTAACCGGCCTAGAGGGAATCTATTTGACCACCAGAGATTCCTAGTGAAGAGTGACATGCTGAATCCAAGGTTTTTAAGCTGTTCTTTTGCAAAGACTCTTGAAGTGATCATTAGGATTGGTTAACTTAAAGCATCTCTTCTGTGGCCATGGTCAACACACCAGTGATCTGAATGAATAAGGCACGTGATGCAACACTGTGTGTGTGTGTGTGTGTGTGTGTGTGTGTTCCTCTCCATGTATACATGGGTGTTGAGGTTGGATTATGTACAAATTCTCAAATCTCAAGACCTAAAACAATGTTGATGGCATTGTTTTTATGCACAGAAGGGATAACGTGTTCTTTTTCAAACATTTATCCACTAAAACACCATTTTGGTTGCTAAGAAATTATCAGGACTTGACAAAGTTTACTCAGCAAACGTGCTGAGCTGCCATATGACGTGGTAAGACAAAATTTAAAGGGAGTCATTAGACTGAATAGCTCTAAAGGTCAAAGAAACAAAGTCAATAAAAACTTGTTGAAGTGCATGGAGCTGAACATGAAAACATTTTACAATAAATAAATTATGATTGATAACTAATAAAATGCTTGACTACTATAAGTAGGAGTTTGTTTAAAGGACGCAGTACATTTCTAGTTTCTTTTATACAAGTAACTAATTAGTTTTAAAGTTTAAGTGTGAATTGAGCATTTTTATAAACTAAAAAGATAATCTAAATTCTTGATGACACATTACTTCCAGTATGAATCATTGATAGGTAAATGTCAGCACCCATGACCTTAGAAACTTCTTTATCAATATTAGAATTCAGTGGCCTGAGTGGGAATCATCTTAATAAATAATACTCAAGTAAGGGAGAAAATTATATAACAAGTTATTATTCTTAAATTCATAAAACCATCTTTTTAAACTCAGATGCTCATTTGTATCTATTGCACTTCTTATATTATTTAAAAAATTAATATAGAGCCAGGCGTGATGGCTCATGCCTGTAATCCCAGCACTTTGGAAGGCCCAGGCAGGTGGATCACCTGAGGTCAGGAGCTCGAGATCAGCCTGGCCAACATGGTGAAACCCATCTCTAGTAAAAATAAAAAAATTAGCTGCAAGTGGTGGTGGGCGCCTGGAATCCCAGTTACTCTGGTGGCTGAGGCATGAGAATTGCTTGAACCCAGTAGGAGGAAGTTGCAGTGAGCTAAGATCACACCACTGCACTCCAGCCTAGGCGACAAGTGAGACTCCATCTCAAAAAATAAAATAAATAAAAATGAATTTAAAAATCAATATAGAAAATATTGCCTTAGAATATGTCATGTCCTAGAGAACTTTTGTTCCCCTCTCTTGATAGGTGAAACTGTCATAATGAAAATCCAAACGGCTTTGTCAACATTCAGAACACAGTGTGTAATTTGGACTTTCGAAAGATGATTGCAAATTCAGCATTGTTTCAAAGCCAGGAAGTGGAAACCCCAAAAGTGACACATTAACATTTTTTTAAACAGTCGGTGAGAGTCTTAACATTGCAGATGCTAAGTGCAGCTGCTATGAACAATGAAGTCTTAGCTGGAGTTTGGTTTTAATGAGATACATGTGTATGAGGTGAAATTAGGTCTTTGAACTTGGTATCTTTACACAGCTCAAATTAAATCAGGGGGTACACGGATTCTGCTTCCTCTTTCCAAGTAAGAAGTACTAGAACTATTAACTGGAAAGCTTTGATGGCCTCCCAGGGGACTGGGGAGAGTTAAGGAAGCTGAGAAATCTTTTGGTCATTGGAGGGGACTAGCAAGTACATCTTGGAGCAAAGTACAGGCTCATGGATTTGATGCTATTCCCGTTAGCTCCAGGATGAGTTTGCTCTCCACATGACTTTCTAAATGTCCACTTAGAGCTGGAATTCTTTTTCCTATTGTCCTTAGTTGTTATTTGTTCTGTTTGGGTAAAACGATATTCACTGGCACGAAATTCATAGAAGACATAAGCATAAAGAGAGAGATCTCCTCACCTCCTGAGAAGCGCACATTGCCCTTTAAAAAGTAAAAATAGGCCGGGCGTGGTGGCTCAAGCCTGTAATCCCAGCACTTTGGGAGGCCGAGACGGGCGGATCATGAGGTCAGAAGATCAAGACCATCCTGGCTAACACGGTGAAACCCCGTCTCTACTAAAAAAAATACAAAAAACTAGCCGGGCGAGGTGGCGCCTGTAGTTCCAGCTACTCAGGAGGCTGAGGCAGGAGAAATACTTGAACCCAGGAGATGGAGGTTTCAGTGAGCCGGGATTGCACCACTGCACTCCAGCCTGGGCAACAGAGTGAGACTTCATCTCCAATAATTAATTAATTAATAAAATAAGAAAAGAAAAAGGAATCACAAAGCACCTAAAAATATCCAGGAAGAAAGCTGATGCTAAAAATGCATTCATTAGACTCCCAACGGCCTGCAATGAGCAAATACGAGAGTACCGTACCAAGCCTGGGCTAGACATTGGCAAATGGCATCCCAAATAGCATGGAAGTAGTTCCTAGCTTCATGACTCTGAGTCTCCTACAATCACACCAATAAATACGGAATAATAAATGGTGGCCGGGCTTTAAAGGAAAGTAAATTCTGTGATGAGAGATAATCAAAGGGGATTCACTGGGGAGTCAAAGGAGGCTTGTCTGAGACGTGACAGTTAAGCAGAGATAGGAAGCATGAGTAGGAATTGATTCAGCGAGGAATGGAAAAAAGAACTTGCAGGCAGTGGGAGTGGCCTGTGTAAATATCCTTCAGCTAGCATGAACTGAAAGAAAGGAGTTTGGTGAAAGGTGGGGGATGCAGAGAGGAAGTGGGAGAGGAAAAGAGCTGGTGACTACTAAGACCTTTCTACGTATCAGGCACTGTTCCAAACCCTTTATATGCTTTAACTCACTTATTGAAACCCTATGGTTTTCCCGTTTTATCTTACTTTATGTTATTTTAGAGACAGGGTCTTGCTCTGTCGCCCAGACCAGAGTGCAGTGGCACAATCATAGCTCACTACAGCCTCCAACTCCCAGACTCAAGCGATCCTCCTGCCTCAGCCTCCCAAATAGCTGAGACTACAGGCTTGCACCACCACACCTGACTAATTTTTTTTTTATTTTTACTTTTAATAGAGACATGGATGACTTGCTGTGTTGCCTAGGCTGGTCTCAAACTTCTGGACCCAAATGATCCTCCTGCCTCAGCCTCCCAACACACTGAATTACTATAGGCATGAGCCACTGCATGCCGCCTATTTTCCCATTTTAATGATGAGTAAACTGAGGCACAGAGAGATTATGCACTGTTTCCAAGGTCACACAGCTAGCTAGTAGAAAAAGCAGAACTTGAGTCCCAAACCCTTAACCCTTGTACCATACTCTCTGTGGCAGAGACAGATTATAGAGAGTTCTATGGTCCAGGATAAAAGTTTTGGATTTCGTTCTAAGTTTATTAGGTTGGAGCAAAAGTAGCTACTTAGAGGCAAATATGAGGCAGTAGAATGAAGACACAGAAGTCAGCAGAGGCAGCTGATGTGCAAAGAGATTGTTACCAGTTCACATCAGTCAAAGCATAATTACTCAGAAACAAACATGGCTAGTCTTAACTAACAAGCCCCCAAATCTATTTCCCCCGAGGGGACAATGGCTAGAGCAATCTAAAAACGAATGATGTAGGCATAACACTGAGAAAACTATCTGGAGCAGAAGAAAATTACCAGTCCTTTAAAAATGATTTCTGAAAAAACATGCAGCACACAAAGCACCGGTAGTCATCATAATTTCAGAGGACAAGGGGAAAAAGGCAACAAATTAAAACACACCTCAAGGTAAATTAGA